TTATATATATTATATTTATTATTATTATTATTATTATTATTATTATTATTATTATTATTATTATTATTATTATTATTATTATTATTTATTATTATTATTATTATTATTATTATTATTATTATATTATTATTATTATTATTATTATTATTATTATTATTATTATTATTATTATTATTATTATTATTATTATTATTATTATTAGTATTATTATTATTATTATTATTATTATTTATTATTATTATTATTATTATTATTATTATTATTATTATTATTATTATTATTATTATTATTATTATTATTATTATTATGTATTATTATTATTATTATTATTATTATTATTATTATTATTATTATTATTATATTATTATTATTATTATGTATTATTATTATTATTATTATTATTATTATTATTATTTATTATTATTATTATTATTATTATTATTATTATTATTATTATTATTATTATTATTTATTATTATTATTATTTTTATTATTTATTATTATTATTATTATTATTATTATTATTGTTATTGTATTATTATTAATAATATGACTTGTCATATTATTAAGTCATATTATTATTATAAGTCATATAATTATTATAATAATAATAATAATATGACTTGAAATGTTGTAGCTTAAATGAAAACGTCAATTTAGCGGTGTTGGTATATTGCATTTTTAATGAAAAATTTGGCATTATGTCAACTGTATTTCTTTACATAATACTTTATGAAAAAATCATTAAAAAAATAGTTGGAAACGAGAAAAAATATGGTTGACCGTGTCAACTCTGTGATACCCGTACGAATTTGGTATCCTATGTACCATTATTTCATAGCTAATGGGACAGACTACATTTCCCATATTAATTTATGCAAAATTTCAGTACCTTATTTTCAATATTTTTTGTGGCCAAACTACAGTTGAAGTTGTATGGCAGCTACCAGAAAGAGTCAAGAATTTTCAACGAATTTTATCAAACACATTAGTCCAACTAATTTACTCGCTTGTGTGAAATGTCAATACCACAGCTTTTATAGTTTCTGGGATATAGCCAAATAACTTTTGAAGTTGTATGGACCAGTACCCAGATCATATATAATTTAAATAGGGTTCTGGTACTTACTATAATAAATCATTTGTGAAAATTTGGTGAACTTAGCTCAATTAGTTTTTTAAGTTATCGTTGGAACGAACGGATGGACATACAGACAAAGCTTAATCGACTCAGAATTCGACGCTGATCAAAAACATACACTTGAGTCTATATCTCAGAACAATATTTCTTAGCGTTACCAACAATAAGGCAAATTAAGTATACACTTCGAACACACGTTCGTACGGGTATAAAAAAAAAGTTCTAAAGATTTCATCTTTGTAGACAGCTTTTATTGTGTAATATATTTATGTATCATAACTTTTTTATACCATCGTGAAGGGTAAATTCACTTTAGTATGGAGTTTGTAACAACTTGCAAGAGTCGTCTCCGGTGTGGGACATATATTCTTGCTCAGCTTGAAATTCTGCGTTGAGATATGCCCGTCCGTCCGCCCAATCGTACGACAGCTCAAAAACGAATAAAGTAATCGACACCAAACTTTCACAAGTTGCCTCTTTTACGCGAGCGACGGGCTGCTGTTGTAATTGAGCCAATTTGGATAACGTGTTCGGGTAACTGTTATCCAACTCTAAAAGGTTTTTCAAATATTTCAAAAATTTATAAAGGCATCAATATCAAATTTTGCGAAATTGTGTTCAATTACTCTCTACATATGTTGTAAAAGTTTTATTGAAATTGCTGCACTGGTTCGGGTAGCTGCCATACAACTCCAAAAGCTAATTTTAAATATTTGGAAAAATAATGCAGTTAGATTCATGAAACTTTGCCGTTGTGTGTCTAATTATATGTCACATATATCGCTAAAGTTTTGGTGATATGACTTGACGGGTTGGGGGTAGCTGCCATACAGCCCCAAAACCTATTTTTAAATATTTGGAAAAATCAAAAGGTCACATTTATTAAATTTGGTAGTCCTGTGTCCAGTTATAGGTTACATATGTATATCCTCGAAGTTTTGGTGGAATGGCTTCACAGGTTTGGGTGGCTGCCATACAACTCCGACAGCTAATTTTAAATATTCGGAAAAATTATAAAACTAGATTCATGAAATTTGGCTGTCATGTGTTCAATTGTTGATCACATATATTCCTGAAGTTTTGTTGGAATAACTTGGCAAATTCGGGTAGCTGCCCTACAACTCCAAAGGCAAATGTTAATGATTTGGGAAAATAAAAGAGTTAGATTCATGAAACTTGGTAGTCGTGTGTCAAATATCAGCCCACACATATCACCGAAATTTTGATGGAACGGTTAATAGGAATGGCTTAAGGAATGGCTAATTTAAAATATTTAAGAAAATAATAGAGTTAGATTCATGAAACTTGACTATTGTGACAGCAATATCCATGCAGTTTCTGTAGATTCGTTTGCCATGTTCGAATACTTGGTATCTATATAACAATGACAGCTATTTCAAACGTGCAGGGTATAAAAAAAAGTGTAAAAAAAGGCATGCTACTCATATTAAAATTGAGGATGTGTTCCATCATTTTAAAAACCAGTGTAAGATCAAAAAAAGAGTTTTAGGTTAACCTAAAAAACCGTGCAAAAAAATATAATATTAAAAACCAACAACTATTATAATGGAAAAAACATATACATATTTAATGTATATTAATATTGAAAACAAAATATAATTCAAACATATTGATATTAAATTTACGCAATAATATTACCTTTTTGTTGTAAGTAAATCCAAACAGAAATTATTAAAACAAATATTTTTTTCTTCAACACACTTTTAAATACAATTGTGTTTAACACTTTTAAATACAATTGTTTTTATATTCTTAATGATAACAGACAAATATAAAGTGCAACTAAAAAAATTCCGGAAATTTCCCGAGTTATATTTTTTTTTAACTGGGTGTACAAAAATTTTTTTGAATATCGTGTTAGAATTATTTATTCGTGTAAAAAAAAAAAATATTTTTTGCTTTTTGTGAACCATGTTATTTCAAAATCGTATAAAAAAAGACCGTGTAAAAAGAGAGTTCGGTGTAATTCGGTCGGTTTATAGCGACTGAAACATTTTTACTTGTTATTGTTATTATTTTTATCTGGTAAAAATATTAACAGTTTTTTAAGTTCAAAAGTTCGAAATATACTTATTTACTTATTAATTTGTGTTTTATACTAAAATAATAATAATATGTATAGTGCGTTATACATCTCAAATTGCAAAAAATTTATACAATATTACAGAAAATAAAACATTTTATAGACCCCAATGTCTAGTGATGGTATATATACTATAATAGATATCTTCTTCTTCGTCTGCAATCCACTGCTGGATGTTACGCGCTCACTTGGCTAATTTTGAATATTTGATATGATGTTTCGTAATTCATCTCTGTCTCTTGCCGTGTGGACCAATTCACCAACTGTTCTTATGCCGGTCCAATCCCTGATGTTTCTAAGCCACGACATTTGTTTTCTCCCAATGCCTCTTCTACCTTCTATTTTACCTTCGACGATCAATTGCAGCAATTCATATTTTCGATTACGCATTATATGGCCAAAATAGCCAATTTTTCTACGCTTTATGATTAGAAGTAGTTCTCTGTTTTGCTGTATTCTATTGAGAACTTCTTGGTTCGTTACTCTATCTAGATATGATATCTTTAAGATACGCCTGTAACACCACATTTCAAAAGCTTCTAATCTATTCAAAGCAGCCATTTTTAGAGTCCACGTTTCCATACCATATGTAAGCACTGACCAAACATAACATCTTAAATAACGCAATCGGAGTTTGATGTTAATATCACGGTTGCAGAGTACATTTCTATATTTAAAAAATGAACTCCTTGCCATTTCAATCCTGCATTTTACTTCCTTATCGGAAGTCCAGCTCTCATCAAGCCAACAACCCAGATATTTGTAACTGGATATTCTTTCAATGGGCCTGCTGTTAATCAAAATGGCAGCGTTATTGTATGTGTTACCTTTTCTGCTAACTATCATAAGTTTTGTTTTGTCGATGTTAATACTTAAACCTGACATGTTGCTATACTCATTGACTTTGTCAACTAGATATTGAAGGTCATTAAGGTTGTCAGCTATTAAGGTTGTATCGTCAGCGTATCGAATGTTATTGATATAGGATCCATTTACTTTAATGCCTATGTCGACTTCATTAATCGCCTCTTTAAAAATATTTTCTGAATACAGATTGAACAACAGTGGTGATAGTATACATCCTTGTCGAACACCTCTATTGATTGCTAAATTATCTGCTGTAATGTTGTCTACTCGGATCTCTGCAGTTTGCTTCCAATAAAGGCTTTTGATACATTGTATATCTTTTTCATCAAGGTTCATATTTTCAAGAATGTTCATCAATTTGTCGTGTTGTACTCTATCGAACGCCTTTTCATAGTCAATAAAGCATATAAAAACGTCTTTTTGCACATCTTTACAATTCTGTACTAAATTCTGAATACAAAACAAAGCCTCACGTGTTCCCATTGCTTCTTTGAATCCAAATTGAGAACCTCCCATTTCAGATTCACATTTTTTGTATATTCGACCATGAATTATTTTTAAAAATATTTTTAGAGCATGATTCATTAGGCTGATCAATCTGTACTCGTTGCATCTTTTAGCGCTAGTTTTTTTAGGTAAAGCTATGAATGTAGATTTCAACCAGTCCTCTGGGAAAACCCCACTATCGTAAATGTTGTTGAATATTTTTACGAGAATATTGATGTTATCTTCGTCAATTATCTTTATTATTTCAGCTGGCAATTCATCAGGGCCTACTGCTTTGTTGTCTTTAGATGAGCTAATGGCTTTAAGTATTTCAGCTTTTGTAATTGGTGGGCCAGATAATTGAATCGTTGAATTACGAGTAGAGTTTGATCTTGTATCTGAGAATAACTGGTTTATATAATTTTTCCAAGTATTTTTCTTGTCTTCTGGCTCTGTGATGACTTGATCTTGATTATCAATCAACATTGATGGTGCTTTTTTACGGTGGATCCTAGAGGCAAGTTTGATCTTTTTGTGTACTCCAAAATCATCATGGAGATGTTGCAGTCTTTCAATCTCAGAGCATTCACGATCGAGCCAATCAGCTTTCGCTTTTCTAATTTTAGATCTTATTAAATTATGTAAGCGATTATATTGTATTCGATTGTTGTTTCGGTATCTTCGTCTTTCTTTCATGAGATTTAAGATTTCATCTGTTATCCATTTTTGTTTTGCTTTGAACTTTTTCGTTCCTAGTTTATTTCTTGCAACACTTTTTAATATAGATGATGTTTGCTGCCAAGAAGGTGTTGCGTTATTAGTTTGCAATGAACGAAGTTGGTCATTTATCTCCTTCGATATGTTACTCCTTACCTCATCAATATTAAGTTTGTCCAGATCTAACTTAAAAGAACGTTGTGATCTGCGAATTGATGCTAGTTTTATTTTAATTTTCGCAAGGAGTAAATTATGATCGGACGGTACATCTGCTCCGGGATAAGTGCTAACTTTACTGACTGATGTGCTAAATCTTTTATTGATCAAAATGAAGTCGATTTGATTTCTAACAATATGCATATCATTGTCTTGTGGAGAGGCCCAAGTATACAGTCGTCTAGGCGGTAGGTGGAACCATGTGTTGGTAACTTTGAATTTGATTTCTTGGCAGAATTGAACCAATCTGTCACCCCTATCGTTTCTAGTTCCAAGACCAAATTTTCCGATGACCTCGTTACTTTCTCCTCTCCCAATTTTTGCATTAAAATCGCCCATTATTATATTGAGTTCGTGTGGTTTTGTAATTTTAAGCAAATCGGTGATTTCTGCATAAAATGCCTCAATTTCTTCTTCACTTGCGTCAGCTGTTGGAGCATAAGCTTGAATAACATTTAGCTTTATTGGTTTCGTATCAAATCTTAAGAGCATTGTTCTGTCAGAGTAAGGTATGAAATCTGATACAGAATTTGAGAAATTTTTTGAAACAATTATTCCTACTCCTTTCCTATGTCGCTTGTCATCGTTACCTGAATAGAATATTTTAGCTCCTTCATTTTGACATTGACCAGAATTCGGCCAGAAGGTCTCGCTAATTCCAAGTATATCTATTTGCAGTCTTTTCATTTCTTGGATGGTGTTTGCAAGCTTACCAGCTTCAAAGAGACTACGTACATTCCAGGTACCGATCCTTAGATATTGTTTTGCTTTGTTTTGGGTTTTACCTCCGGGGATTCTTAGCACCCTCTTTATGCCGGAGACTGAGGGCCGTGTGTTGTTTGCTATTTCCATGTGAGTTTTCTAGGGATGAATACTTCAGTGGTTTCCCGTTGCCTTCTGAAGAGTTTTTGGTAGTTTTCTTTCTTTTTAATTCAGCCGCCCTTTCAGGGAACAGACGCTGTTTGTAGCCGCCTAATGTAGGACAGACGCTACGTTGAATAACTTCTGAACTCTAAAGTTAAACAGAAGCCGCCAGTTTTGTTTGTTCGCCGACTCACCTACACCACCAGGATTGGTTACCTGATCTTTCGATGAGTTGCTCAGCTTAACAGGAGGGACCTCGTGAAGGTAAAACTTGGCGTTGAATAGTAGAGGCTAGGCTTATATATAACTGGAACCTATAAGCTGTGATATCGCATACTATCCCGTTTCCCCCCCATTAATAGATATGTATCTATAATATTATGTGAAAATATTTTATACTAATACGTACTATGTGTATAATTCCTTATACAAAGAATACTTCGTAAATTAAAACTACAAAAGTTTAGTAGAGATATGTAAAACAGGCCCGCTAAAAAGTGCAGTTTCCGAGGCCTGATATTTGATCAATCCGTGCCATGGTCGAAATAAATTTTCATATAAAATTTCATCAAAATCGGTTCAGCCGAACTTGAAATACACGCGTCCACCACAGACCGACAGGTTGCTAAAAATAATTTATTTACACTTCCCTACTATGGAGAAGTGCATTCTCACGAAAATTCGATATGCAAAGTTTGTTGCCATCACATTACCTACCTATTGTATACATATTAAAATATAATTTTATCGGATAAAAAAATTTTGGAACTGGATAAGTAGCCAAATTGAATTGTTTAATTATGATTTACAGATAACGTGCTATAATGCTCTATGACATACAAAAACAAAATTTGTATAACATGGGTCATTATAACACTAAAAAAATTTTTGAAAAATTTATAAAACTGTTTACATATAATGAAAGATCATCTTCGAAAACCTATAAAAGTGGTCTTAAGTCATAAATTACGAAAGTGGCGTATGGACTTAAATAGCACCCAGCCGACGAAATGCCTCAAAAGTAGCATTCCCGATTCGTCAAACAATGCAAAATTATGATCAGGTTTTGCGCTTTTATAAATAGTTCCTACAATATTTTTTCAACGTGATAAGTGTAAGTGGCCCCTAGATATGCAAATATTAATAGCATCCTGTGCCACAGGAAAATATTAACAAGTAAAAACGTTTCAGTCGGTATAAACCGATTGAATTATACCCTGCACCTTTCGTTATTGTTTAGGAATTACTCGAACCTGTGAAGTCATTCTATAGAAACTTCACGGATATATCTGACCTATAATTGGACATCCGACTGCCAAGTTTCATGAATCTGACTTTATAATTTTTCCAAATATTTAAAATTAGCTTTTGGAGTTGTATGGCAAGTACCTGAACCTGTCAAACAATTCCATCAAAACTTCACAAATATGTATATCTGATCTATAATCGGACACACAACTGCCAAGTTTCATGAATCTGACTTTATTATTTTTCCAAACATTTAGAATAAGCTTTTAGACTTGTATGGGACCTACTCGAACCTGTAAAGCAAATCCACCAAAACTTCAGAAATATATCTGACCTATAACTCGACATACAACTGCCAAGTTTCATGAATCTGACTTTATAATTTTTCCAAATATTTAAAATTAGCTTTTGGAGTTGTTTGGCAAGTCCCCGAACCTGTCAAGCAATCCCATTAAAACTTTAGAAATATGTCTGACCTATAATTGGACACACGATTGCCAAGTCTCATGAATCTGACTTTATTATTTTTCCAAATTTTTAAAATAAGCTTTTAGACTTGTATGGGAGCTACTCGAACCTGTCAAGCAATTCCACCAAAACTTCAGAAATATATCTGACCTATAACTCGACATACAACTGCCAAGTTTCATGAATCTGACTTTATTATTTTTCCAAATATTTAAAATTAGCTTCTGGAGTTGTATGGCAGGTATCCGAACCTGTCAAGCAATTCCTCTAAAACTTCACAAATATATCTGATCTATAATCGGACATCCAACTGCCAAGTTTCATAAATCTGACTTTATTATTTTGCCGAATATAAAAAATTTTCTGTGGAGTTGTATGGCAGCCACCCGAACCAGTGGAGCTATCCCATTATAATTTCTAGAGCATGTGTAGAATATAATTGGACACATGTATACAAAATTTTATATTTATACCTTTATTAGTTTTTGAAATATTTAAAATAAACTCTTTGAGTTGTATGGCAGCTACCCGAACCTGTTGTCCGAATTAGTCCAATAACAATAGGGCACAAAAGAAAAAACTTGTGAAAGTTTGGTGTCGATTGCATTATTCGTTTTTGAGTTATCGTAAGATCGGACGGACGGACGGACAGACGGACAGACAGACATGTCTAAATCGACGCAGAATTTTACGCTGAGCAAGAATATATATATATGTCCATACCGCAGATGAGTCCTTCAAGTAGTTACAAACTCCATACCAAAGTTAATATACCCTTCACGAGGTGCAGGGTATAAAAAGGACCCCATTTGCAATAGTATATTTTTAAAGTCGTAACTTTAATTTAGTTCACATAAAGTTTAAAATAAGTATCCAGTTAAATAATACATATTAGAAATTAAATAAGTAAAAGGGTTTCAGCCGGTATAAACCGATTGAACTATATTCTTTCATTCTTGTGTAGCAATTACTCGAACCTGTCAAACCACTTCATAGAGGCTTCAAGGATATGTCTGACCTATAATTGGATACACGACTGCAATGTTTCAAAAATTTTATTTTATTATTTCTCCAAATATTTTAAATTAGCTTTTACAGTTAAAGTTTAGAGTTTCATGGCCTTTAACCATGAAATTGTTAGTTGAAGAGTTTAATAGAATTGTTAGAGAAGAGAATAAAGATGATTTCTGAAAGTATTAAGTGACCAGATGACAGCCAACAACTTTCTCGTTCGTGGCTCAGCTTTCATCTGCCTTGTTTAGTTTGCGAAAAATGAAATCTTACAAACCAAAACCAGCGAGTTTCCATTCTAAACATTTCTTTTGAAAATACCGTATTTGAAAAAAGTTTAATGCAATAGAATAACATTTTCTTATAAAATTTTGTCCTAAAAATATATTGTTAAGGAATTTAATGTACACTTATGTTTTACTAACTAATACATTGTGCAGGAGATCGCGAGAAGAATACATAACTAAATGCGTACGTACATAATTGTTATAAAACAATGTAGATTACTCAAGAAACAATTTTCTTAAGAAAGTGTTCACTTTTTGTTATAACTCACACTTCCAAATATGATTTTACATACAATATTTATACCACCAAAAGTAAATAAAATTACTCCTGCTAATTACTCCTGCTTATAAATGGTACTCCATGTAGTACCATTTTGTAAAAAGCGGTCACATAGCATCTTTATGATGGGGCAAAGGGGAGGGTGGGTGGAATAATCACTTTTTCTGGGACCCTAGAGGCAAAACCCTATCTAATGCCTTTTGTCTCATGTCTCTAGCCCTTCTAGAAGTACCCGTACTTTTTGATACCTGAGAAGTAGCTACATATATATAATGTAAAATAGGATGGTTTTTTTTAATATATAACAGATAAATGTTATTATAAAAGTTTAAAGAAAATTTCCAAAAAAATATTCTTATAATAGTTTGGAAAAATTCGCAAAAACTTTAAGTACATAAATATGTATGTACATATGTATATTTTTTTTTAAAGTTTCCTGAATTATTTTTTTTTAAGCTTTCTATATGAATTTAATAATATTCAAAACTGTAGAATATATAAAAATAAATTTTAAACGCATAATTATAAAATCATGGGAGTAAACATACAAAAATTAATTTTTCAAATAAAGAAAAGGTTTAGTCAAAAACAAAATAATAATTTTATTCATATATATGTATGTATGTATGTATGAATATAAATATGTATGCATATATGAATGGATTAGAATTGAATCTTTTAAAATTTTTCGTTCCAACATATGAATGTATTAGAATCGAAAATTTTAAAATTTTGCTGTTGGAAAATTTATAAATAAAATTGTAAATGCAAACATACATAATTATGAATGGATACCTGTTTTTTTTAAACTGTGGGTAAACATATAGGATTGAGTTTTTCAAATAAAGAAAAGGTTTAGTCAAAAACAAAATAACAATTTATGTATGTAAAAATATATGTATGTGTGCATATATGAATATATGTGTGTATGTATATATGAATGGATTAGAATTGAAGATTTTAAAATTTTTCATTCCAACATATGAACGTATGTACATATGAACGGATTAGAATCGAAAATTTTGAAATTTTGCTGTTGGAAAAATTATAAATAAAATTATAAATGCAAACATACATAATTATGAATGGATACCTGTTTTTTTTAAACTGTGGGTAAACATATAGGATTGAATTTTTCAAATAAAGAAAAGGTTTAGTCAAAAACAAAATAACAATTTATGTATGTAAAAATATATGTATGTGTGCATATATGAATATATGTGTGTATGTATATATGAATGGATTAGAATTGAAGATTTTAAAATTTTTCGTTCCAACATATGAACGTATGTACATATGAATGGATTAGAATCGAAAATTTTGAAATTTTGCTGTTGGAAAAATTATAAATAAAATTATAAATGCAAACATACATAATTATGAATGGATACCTGTTTTTTTTAAACTGTGGGTAAACATATAGGATTGAATTTTTCAAATAAAGAAAAGGTCTAGTCAAAAACAAAATAACAATTTATGTATGTAAAAATATATGTATGTATGCATATATGATTATATGTATATATGTA